CTTAATGCATAATAAATGAAAAAAATTAAGGAAAATTTTAAGTCTAATAAATGGCAGAGTAGTCATTTGAATCCAAAACTGTGGCCCTGAGTCACTATTACCAACTAACATATTACTTCTTCAATAGAGCATTAGTTGTTGCTTTTATAGAAGGAGGATGTTTTTAAAGAAGATAAAAATAATGCATTGAATATTGGCTTTAGCTTTTAACAAAAATGTTACTTGCCAAAGCTAACAAAAATGTAGGCATTTCCCTCCAACTATTGTTAGATTAATACAGTAATTAAATTTTGTTTCAAATAATCATTAGATGGAATTTAATTTCCAACTACCCTTAGAATAACAGGGAAATATTGAGCTAACACTCCAAACATTTTTCTCATCTCAACTATGCTTTTATTCTTTCAGAAATGAGCTCTGAAAATATTGTCAGAAAGAAAGCAGAGTAGAAGAATTGAGCTCAGGAAAGTACATTTACTAACACCCACCACTATAATTTCTTAATTACTTATAACAAAAGTACTGACATGTTTCTTTTTTACCATAGTTTTATACCTTATACTGGAGCTATGGATTTCAATTAATTATTTTATGCTTTTGAACAAATGGTTAAGCTCCCAGAAAAAAGGGCAGACTCCAACTCAAAAGTGATTATTGAACTTCTGTTGACATTTTTTTTTCCCTTTCAATAACTTCTGATTTAAGTCAGCATGTTCTGGAATGCAGAGCTTACATCTTCATTCACTTATCTTGTATTCAGAATTTCCCAAAGAATTGCAAGCTTACCAAACACTTTAAGGAATAGGAAGAATGTCACATCCATGTGCAAACTGTTTTCCCAATAAATTCTCACCTGAGAGGGTGATTTTTTTTTCAAATTCTTGCTCTTTCACTAAGCCTATCTAGTTCTCTTTCTCCGCATGCTCAGCAGTTGTCAGTAGAGAGATAATTAATATTTATATTTGCAGCACTATTACTATTGTTATTGTTTCACCTTTATTGGGTATTTATTGATATCATTTAATCTTCTCAAGTTTATAGTCACATTCATTTTACTACTCAGGAAGCAAGAGGGTTAATCAACTTGCCCAAGGTCACACACCTAGTGAATACATGTTATGTTTTTTTCACTCTCCATATGCTGTGGTTTTAGCATGTTTGTTAAATGAACGAAGCCAATCTTAAATGATTCTCAGGAGCAGAGACTGAGGCTCCACTGTTTGTGCTTTGGTACTGAAAACAAAGTGCAGTCTGGGCCTCTCAGAAATGCCTGACATATACAAATGTCAGTGAAGGTATGATACCATCAGAGGAAGGGGCATGGTGAGGACTGACACACAAAAAAAGTGTGCTCAGTTTTACAGGAGAATTTTTTCTCTTGCATTTTGGTTGCATTTTTTTTATAGATGACCAGTTATTTCTCACTGATAATCAGAGGACCACATATCCTAAATTATTTAAGCGAACACCTCTCTTGGAAGTTTATTTTGTTTTTCTAGTGAATTCCAGTAAAAACCCAGTTCCGGAAGAACTATAATTGCCCTATTGCTTTACTATTTGATGATTGGGGAAAATTAAATTCAGAATGGTATTTTTACTTAAAAAAGAAAACTCTCCTAGTTTCCACTTGAAAAAAAATAAAAACTTTTTAATAGAACCTTTTAAAAATTACTTTTGTAATCTCCTAAGTACATTTTCAACTCTTGACTATATAAGTTATTTCCTCATTAGTAGAAAAATCAGCCGTGATTTGGGGATTATGGATAAACATAATTCAATTACTGAGAAGCCCCAAACACTACTGAGCCTTCAGTAATGACAGCACATTCAGACTTTACAGCAAATACCTTTTTTTAGTATATTATCAGCTTAATATCTTTTTATCTTATGTCCCTGGTCAAAAAATTACACTGAAATGCAGGGCTTGTATCAAATTTCCTGTGAAAATGTTAAAAATCTTTATCTCTCATAAACTATTTTAGAGAAATTTCACATGATGGATGGTGTATCATACTCCAGATCCAGAACTGACAAGTTGCATCTAGTAAGTTCAAACAAGAAATAAAAGCAGAATGACTGCAAGTTTTGTTTTCAAGTGATGTCATCAATACATCTGCTTTAAGGCTAGCTTTTCTTCAGGCTAATTTCAGAGGCCTTGAAGAATAAGAGCCTAACTACCCAGATCTTTGGTTTGTACCATTTTCTTCTGGCATATCCGGGATTCTGTGTCTTTAAGGGTTAAATTTAGAAGAATGGCAAAGTGTGAACATGAGGAAATGCAATATCTTTGTGCTTTTAGTATCTATCACAGTAGTATTAGTTCAACAAAGGTTATATAACCTAACTATTGGGCACTTAAAGGTTCTGGTACCATAGTGCTGTATATCCTTTTCATATTTCTATTTTCTTCTTAGTATTCACAAGAGTGCCTAAAAATCTTGTTATAAAAAAAAGAAATGAAATGTTTGAAATATTATGTACATTATTCCTATGGAAGACATGAAGTACTTGAGATTTTTTTCAACTTATAAAAATGCTACATTGTAGACTATTATAGCAGAATAGCAAATACCAGACTTAATGAATATAATGAATTCCAAATTTAAATAATTTTAGCTTTCCTGAAAAGGAAACAATAAATTTGTCAGTTATTAAACCATATGGGATCCAATCAATGACTATATATTCCTGACTGACATATTTACTGACATATATATATATATATATGTACTAAGTTTGACAGGATTCCTATTTAAGGATGTCTTTGATATGTATATATTTACTTTTTAAAATTTAAGTTTCTTTTATTTTACTTTTCTTTTATGTTATCAACTCTATTTCCAAAATTTCATCTTTGGAGAATCCATATTTTAATTATTTTCCTACTATAATTTCTGAGTCTGCAACTATACTTTAATAAAGCTATTTAGTTCCATTTTTGTGAGGATATTTTAAAAGGGGAATCAGTACCTTCACAAATCTTAAAAAGACATTTCAGAGTCTGTAGCCAGTATTGCTACGTATACTTATCTCTTTCTTTTCAATGCCATGAATCATTATAAATGTCAGGTTCATTATTGTGGCATGCTGAAATGATTGAGTGGGAACTGTGCCCAGCACTGCATTGTAAAACAATCCATCCCCAAACACATTGCCCTGTACTGTATGCATCAGCCCAATTAGATTTTCTTTGACACTTTGGTGATTGCTCTTTTGTTTGGTCTTGGAGAATTCAAAGTCATAAAATTCAGCTCAAATTTGAAGACAGTATCAAGACTATTGCTATCTGAGCTGAATCTGTGCATGTTAACTAGAGTCATACCTAGTCACATCTGCTTGTAGGATTGCATTCTGCACTTTTCCTTCGCTTCAGTCATGCAATCAGCATCTACGAGTGAACTTTGATGTGTTATATGTTTTTTTTTTTCCTAGTAGATTGGGAGTCCCATTCTTTACCTGTGTTCAAATGGGATTAAATGTGCCTCTCTTGGTAAAAGAAACAGCTTAGAACCAACCCATAATAGTCTATTTATTTTCTATGTTGTCATTCCCCTTTGCAAAATCTAATACTGTTTTCCCCCCATTAGTGAATGTGCGTAAGTGTATGAGTTCCAAAATGCAGCCTTTGTCAGCACAAAAACAACACAAGTGAAGATATTTGCCTAGGTCTCTTAATACCTCCTTCCTAGATATAACTTCCAAATGGCTGGTTCTGCGGGCTTTCTAAAAAGAGCTAGAGAATAGAATAGACTTGATAAACAAGATTAAGAGCAAAAGAGGGCAATAAAAGAAATTTTTTAAGAAAATAGAAGAATACAAAATTCAATATTACTTTTCTTTTAATAACCGTATTTTTCTTCCATGAAGTTATGGGATTGCCTCCGTACCTGCTTAATTTCTGCAAGCCAAGGGTTTCTAGGTGGGCTCTCCAAAGCATTTGCCGGAAGGTGGCGATATAAGTCCTTATTGCCTAGAGCTGTCCCAAGTGCTGAAGCCGATATCGGCGCTTAAGAGAAACTACCGGCCAGCGACCAGGGGTTCCACCAAGGTCCCCTAGAGGTTTGCAGGCTCAGGTAAAGAAGAAGCAAAAGGCCATATAAAATGCCCAACCTTATTTACAGAATACAGGCAAAAGATTCCCTTCCCTACATTTACTCTCCACAAAGCTATGAAACGTGGCAATGTTTATTGAAATAAAAAAGGTAATGGTAATGGAAAGGCATGTGTATGTGTGTAGAATACATACCGAATTGAGTTTTTTCCCTTCACTTTGAGATGCAGCTGTTTACCTGTCCGTTGACACGTCCTTTATAATTCCTTTCCCCCCTAATTACCCAAGGTTAAAAAAATAAATAAAGGCACAGGCAACATCCTCCCCAAGGGAGTCAGGTTGGACTGTCAGATAATGAACGGCCTGGCTTCTTTAAAAAGCTAAGAAACACTTTGTCTTCTTTCCATCAATTAACAATAATCTACAGACGAACCCAGGACTGTCTACCTCCCCGTTCAGGCTCCACGTGGCTCCTTTTCTAATTTCCTATTGCCACTCTGTTGCTGTTAACTCTACTTAATAATTTGACAGAAATATGAAGCAATGGATAGTTAGGATTTTTTTCTCCTCTCGAGTTTGGCTGGGTGAGAGGCGGAGTTATATGTTCTAATATTGGTCTGACCGGCGGCAGATCCGGTGGAAGCGAATTCCGAATCTCTGCCGACCAAAAGGGGCTAGAACGAAAAGACGCTGAGCTAGAGGGAGAGGTGGGCGGGGACCCAGAGGAAAGAGACACTCAGGGTTGGGGAAGTGTTAGCGTGGGAGGGAGGGACACTCTCAGAGCTGTCGGAGCGACACACGGAAGGATAAAGGGGAAGAAAGAGGGAGACTGAAAGAGAAGGGAGAGGGAGAAAGAGCGGGAGAAGGCTTTCTAGAGAGGAGACAGGAGGAGAGAGTGGAAAAGAGAAAGGGAGAGAAGCAGGAAGAGGAGAGTCACAGAGTGACCCTAGAGGACGAGGCTTCTCTGTTCCAGATACTTCTAAGATTGAAGACTGTTTGCTAGTGGGGAGACTCCGGCTCCGGCAGCCAGTTGGGCAGCGGCAAAGTAAAATGGACAGTGAGAAACAGACGTTCCAGCCACCTCTCCAACGCCCAGAGGTCCCGGAGCTGTTCTCTGGAGAACTCCTTTTCCAGCTGGAGTCTCTGAGCCTGCTGGACCAAGGGAGCCCAGGGAGCGCCTGGAAGCTGCTCCTCGGAGATGCCCTCGCCTGAGCAGTAAGAATTTCCCGTTGAGTCCCTGCATTCCCTCCACCTGAAATTCCCCAGGAGAGAGGGGTGGAAGACCCCAGGGGGAGGGGCGAGGGGGATCCTAACGCAGCACTTTCTCCCCTCCCCCTCCCCCTGCCGGGCGCGCAGGCATGGATGTGCTCAGCCCGGGACAGGGCAACAACACCACCTTGTCAGAGGGTCCCTTCGGGACACGCGGCAACGCTACTGGCGTCTCCGACGTGACCTTCAGCTACCAAGTGATCACCTCACTGCTGCTGGGCACGCTCATTTTCTGCGCGGTGCTGGGCAATGCGTGCGTGGTGGCCGCCATCGCCCTGGAGCGCTCCCTGCAGAATGTGGCCAACTATCTCATCGGCTCGCTGGCTGTCACTGACCTCATGGTGTCGGTGCTGGTGCTGCCCATGGCTGCGCTCTACCAGGTGCTCAACAAATGGACACTGGGGCAGGTCACCTGTGACCTATTCATTGCCCTCGACGTGCTGTGCTGCACCTCGTCCATCCTGCACCTGTGCGCCATTGCACTGGACAGGTACTGGGCCATCACCGACCCCATCGACTACGTGAACAAGAGGACGCCCCGGCGCGCCGCTGCGCTCATCTCGCTCACTTGGCTCATTGGCTTCCTTATCTCCATCCCGCCCATGCTGGGTTGGCGCACCCCCGAAGACCGCTCGGACCCCGACGCGTGCACGATTAGCAAGGACCACGGCTACACTATCTACTCCACCTTTGGCGCTTTCTACATCCCGCTGCTGCTCATGCTGGTTCTCTACGGACGCATCTTCCGAGCAGCGCGCTTCCGCATCCGCAAAACAGTCAAGAAGGTGGAGAAGAAGGGAGCGGACACCCGCTTTGGGGTGTCGCCAGCCCCGCAGCCCAAGAAGAGCGTAAACGGCGATCCGGGGAGCAGAGAATGGAGGCAGGGTGTGGAGAACAAGGCAGGGGGTGCTCTGTGCACCAACGGCGCGGTGAGGCAGGGTGACGAGGGCGCCGCCCTGGAGGTGATTGAAGTGCACCGGGTGGGCAACTCCAAAGAGCACCTGCCGCTGCCCAGCGAGGCGGGTGCAATCCCTTGCGCCCCCGCCTCCTTCGAGAAGAAGAATGAGCGCAACGCGGAGGCCAAGCGCAAGATGGCCCTGGCCCGAGAGAGGAAAACGGTGAAGACGCTGGGCATCATCATGGGCACCTTCATCCTCTGCTGGCTGCCCTTCTTCATCGTGGCCCTGGTCCTGCCCTTCTGCGAGAGCAGCTGCCACATGCCCACCCTGTTGGGCGCCATAATCAACTGGTTGGGCTACTCCAACTCTCTGCTCAACCCTGTCATTTACGCCTACTTCAACAAAGACTTCCAAAACGCGTTTAAGAAGATCATCAAGTGCAAGTTCTGCCGCGGATGATGGTGGAGGAGTAGTCGGCGAGTAGGCCCGCCCCATCCTCTCTGCCTCCTCCAGCCCTCTGGAATCAACACCTATGATAGCTCGCTACTTTTCCTCTGACTTTCTCGGCTGCTCGGGGTCCCCCGCTTCCAGACCTCGTCCCTCCTCCCCAGTCGCCCAATCCCCTGCTCGGACGGACGAGTGCGCTTTGTGCAAAGAGCCCCAGCGGAGGGTCTGCAGGGCTTGGGAAACTCCCCGGTTTGTGATAAGCTACCTTGGCTCAGACTTTGGCCTCAGAATCAGTTCTGATCCCTGCACTTGCCTCGTCCCTCTTCTGCACCCCAAATCTTCGCGGCGGAAGTTTAAGCCTCAGCCGTTCAAGGCAAAAAATCTACACAGAAAAACAGTACACCCAGGTGCCGCGCCCACTTAACGGCTCCCACCTGATCGCCCCATTGCTAGAACTTGTATTAAACGTTCAGGAGTTTGCTTCATTACCTATTCCCAACTCTGTTCCGCCCTCCCCCTGGAAACTCACTTTTATTTTTCAGTTTCATCCCTTCTTTCCAGCTTCTCTATATGCCCTCCCTAGTCCCTCTGCATAGGTTTGCTAGTCGGGAAAAGCTGGAGGGTCTGTTTTTCCCACTGACTGTGGTGTCCCTGGTAATCCCCGCCTCCCTGTGTAGACTTGCAGAGTAACTCTTCCGCGCACAGCCCCCAGCTCTGTTTTCTTGGACTCCAAACAAGTGGCCAGAAGCTGTCTCTTAGAGTGGACTTGTAAGTACAAGCAAGGCTGGGCCAGTGGGGGAGAGCGAGAAGGGAGTGCGGAACGATTTTTATCCGTGCTTGCCTTGCAAGGCGTCAGCACTCACCAAAGAAACTGACAGTCAGTGGGAAGGGAGAACGGACTTCTGTTTGTATAGGCTGCTGGCGCGTCTGCACGTTCTAGTGTCGCCACTTACCTACCACGGGCTGTGCCCGCCGGCCAAGGTGTGTGTGCTGAGGCCGCCCGGCCGCCTACCGGCCCCGCGCCTCCGCAGGCAGCGGCTGTCTGGTGTGCGCTCGGCGCGCGCGCTAGGAACTCAACCAACTGCAGCCATTCTTCCGCCTACGCCGCGGTACGCGCAGAAGGACGGCTAAACCGCGGGGTCTGCGGAAGCCGCTGGAGCTAGGTCCGGCGGGAGGAGCGGGGCCCGGGAAGCCAAAGGGGGTGGTGTCGGGCCTTTAAGAGGGAGGAGATGTCAGTGCGCGCGCTGCCCGGCCTGCAGATGGCGCTGCTCGTGAAAGCCGAAAGGGCAGTTTCATCCAAAGGATGTGGACGCCTTCCTCCCAGTTACCCCCTGTCCTTTCAGATAGAATAGTTCTGTTAAGCGCGTCCTAACACTACACGAGATTTATTCTGTAGGACGTCCAGCACACAGTTGCCAGGATTTTGCTTTCCAAATAGGAATTCCAGGTTTCCAATCAAATGGGCCCCGATAGATTTAGTACCCTCTGGGACTTCACAGTTACCTTAAATAATGGGGCCCCAAAGACTAGTTAGGGGTACTCTCGCTGAGGAGTCCCTGAGAATCTTGTACAGGGTTAGGTTTGCTCCTTGGCCTGATGTGAGCCACAGGTCTAGGGCAAACCAGTTTCTTGCCATTTGAATATGTGGAGCACTCCAAGCTTTCTCCCCCACAAAAGTTACTCTTTCAACCTTGCCACTTCTGCTGAGAAACAGTTATAATCTTTACTGCCCCAGAAGGGAAGTGATTTTGGTGCTCCGTTTGAATGTAAATTTCCATCCACAGGACTGGGATCAAGAGGTTAGTTAGTTAGATGTAGCCTCTGATTTTCTGATGACTAACGGTTGTGTTTTCCAGTAATTGCACAGTTATTGATATTTACTCCCCTCTCCCTTCAACTGGACCTTTTGAATGATTGCGTTGGCTGTTTTGAGAACAGTGTTGCAGAAGTTGCCAATGGAAAGTTCACTTGCATTTAGGTGAAAAGACAGCTCTATCCCTGAAGCCATTCTCTTGTTTGTCAACAGAACAAAGCCTCCATTTGGTATCTTTTTCTCTAACTGAAACTGAGAATAAGCATCACATCCAGTTAAGATAAAGTATAAGCACTCTGGACACTCACTGGATGGTTTGTTTGTGCATATGTAATGCTGATAAGGGGCTAAGGTAGACTTCTTCGGTCCAAAAATTATTCATTTGAAAATTCAATTTCTTTTTTTGCTCACAATAATTTCAGTACAGCTGTATGAAAATGCACTTTTCTGTGTGTCTTCCTTAATTTTAGAACAAATTATATATGTAAAATAATTCAAGTTCAAAATTTGTTTATCCAAATTACGCCTTGGCCAGCAAGTATTACATTCAAAGTCTTGAGTCTTCCATTTATTTGTATCTCTTACAGAACTGTATGGCAATGGTTTTTGGACATTTATTCTTCCTACTTTGGAGGAATTACATCAAAATGAGGAAGGAGCATCCAGTTGGAGCATAATTGCCAAGGCAATAGAGAAATTTGGGGAATAAGTGCATAGCAGTCAACAGCCCCTGATGCTTTTTATTTCTTTTAGTCTTTGTATTAAGACAAAATATATATGCATCAAAATTGGCCTTCACTTTTTTCTGTGACAATAAAGGACTTTATTAATGGTAATGCTACAATAAACTGATATCAGTAACCCATGCATCTGTATTTTAATCGGAATTGCTGTCTACTTGTGTTTATTTGTATTATTTAAAAATTGAAGTTAAAAAATACAGTCATCAGGAGAAGATTCTGCTATACAGATCAGGATATGAAACTCATTCTAAATGAGTGATTTCTTTAAAAAAAAAAAAAATCCTGTCTCTGAAAAGAGAGGTCACATCTCATCGTTTTGCCAGGAAACCATGAATTTTCCCTGACTGACACCTACGGTTAAGACTTAGACATCTGTCTAATTAATATGGACAGGGTGGAGGACACACAGAAGAGAAATGCAGCCTCTGGTGAAAGCAACAAGAAACACAACTGCATCTTGTGTTTTTAAAGCAGTGGACAGTCTGATGCCCCTCCTCTGTCTTCCCACAACTTGTAGCTAGAAGAAAATAGCCTCCCCTGGTTTCAGTTAAAGCAGTGCATTGTTTTGGCATTTGTCACTCAGTTAAAAATGGAGAGGCATTTTCTTTTCTGTCTGGGTCTCACTTGATAGTGGGGTTCTGTATGGAAGATCTATTACTATGCTAAAATTAATTTTTATGCTCTCTTTCCCCCTGTTAGAATCATCGGCAATGCCTCTTGTTTCCCATGGTATGTTTGTTAATTCCACTGCTTTCTGCTATCAGAATGATGGCTGCAGGGCATGCTGAGCCCTGGTACAACCCATGGGGAACACAAAGGTCAGGGATATTTCAGCCCCAGAAGAGAGCTCTCTGAAGCTGCAGGAAGCCTTGTACCTACACTATATGTATACACATGTTCTCCCAATAATGAAGAGTAAAGACGGGGAATGGGGAGAAGAAAAGCTGTCTAGAATTTCTCATCTGAAAACTGTTCCATTAATGTGTCCCTGACCTTGAATAAAATGATGCCTTTGAAACATTTGTCTTTTAGATTCTGGGTATCTCCCTTCTTGGCCCTTGTTCTCTGCTCTGGCATCTATTCCTCCAAGGGGACAATGGTTTTCTGTTTTCTACAGGCCTTCCTGAGTCTCCATCAACACTCAAACTGAGAAAGAAAATCGTTATCATTCACTTCCAGTGTGACTAACAAGCCTGGATAACAAATTAGGAGCCACCACGTGTCAGGCTCCATTAAATAATGTTGACATATGGGTCTACAAATTCATATAAGATACTTTTGTCACCTTGAAGGAGTTTCCAACCTATTGGGGTATATAAGAACAAGCTACAAAGGCTAAAGGAATACTATTGGTAGAATATTAATATGATCTCAACAGGGCAAGTCACAAGAGTTTGGCCCTGTAAGAATTCAGGGGACAAATATCGCTGTGAGCTGGGGGTGGGTAGGAAAGATTAGGTAGGGAAAGCTGCATAAAGCATCCAGGACTGAGCTGTGGGTACATGGATGGGAGTGGTTTGAAAAGGCAGACATTCTTTAGGAGATGCCAAAGACAACCTGATCCCATCTTCTTGTCAAGGGGGGGCCTGGGATGAAATTTGTTACTGCATTGCTGGATACTGGTAGCCTGGGTTGGGTTGAGGAGGTGGAGATCCTGGAAAAAGATGCAGGTTCATGGCTTCCCATGTGTTGTATCAGAAGGGTCTGGGAAGAGAGAGAAAAGATGAATCTGTAAAGTCAGAGAAATGGCAGTTGGGGGTAACTAGATAAGAGGAAGAATGTCTTGACAGAGTAGGAGCACAGCATATGAATAGGAAGAGAATTATTAAACTATTAAATGTTGACAAAAGATTGATCAGGGGTAGGTACAAGACAGAATAATTCATACTTATGTAATGCTAAAGTTTTTGCCAAGTGATTTTCACACAATATACTGTTGAAATTTGGGGTAGCAGATCCTTTCAGAAATACCAATTAGACCACTTTAGCCAAAGCAAGAGGTTAACATAGCAGCGGGTAGGTATAGAAGAAAGTGCTAGAGATCATATGTGGAATCATTATAATTCCAGGTTAAAATCTAGAACTATAGTTTTAGTCGGTGTAGATCATTAAGAATGAAGACAGAAGTGTTTTGTTTGGAGCTGATTTCAGTGACGCAGGTGAAATAATGAAGACCTGATTGTGAGATGTCAGCAGAAGGAATGGAAAACGAGTTAGACATCAAAGAAAGAACTGGCAGGACTTGGTGTCTGGACGTGAGGAGGGGGAGTTGAAGAGGCAGAGGTTTTGCGCCTTGGAGATGTGGGCAATGACAGAAAAGGGGAAGTCAAGAGTTACTTCTCCTCTGGGTCTTTTTTTTTTTTTTTAAACTTGATCTGTAAATATAAAAAAAGCTTTGTTCTCTGCTAAGAGAATTTCCAGCCCCAGATGGCAGGGGCCTTCTGGGAAAGGGATTGATACATGTCACAGCATTGGAACAGTTTGTCATTTGGGAGAGTATGTGAGGAATGATCTTCAGAGAACAATGCTTGGATCAATACC